CTGCAAAATCCCAGCACTCAGGAGGCTGAGGCAGGAGAATCACTATAAGTTTAAGACCAGCCTGGGCTACATAAAGAGTTCCAGGTCAGTTTCAACTACATAGTGAGACCCAATCTCAAAAAAACCAAAGCAAACAGGCCTTTCTCAGCTCTCCTTGCACAGGGCTCAACAAGTCTCCACATGCTGACACTGCAGATGTAGGGGCCTGAAGGTCCTCAAGTAAAAAAAAAAAAAAAAAAAAAAAAAAAAAAAGAGAGAGAGAGAGTAGTTGAAGTACTTCTTGGAAATGAGGGGTGGGAGTGAAAGTCCCCTGACTTGGAAGGTAATGACTTTCAGAAAGTGAGAGAAGGAAGAACATGCACACAGGGTGGCTGTGAGAACAAGGAGGCCAGCAGAATCCCAATGAGTCGGACTTGGCTGCACCCAGAAGATAAGGGCAGAACTTGGGGCAAGATGGCAAAATCCATGCATTCCAAGGCAGACACTTGGACCTTGTCCCACAGGGCAGAACCACTCCTGGAAGGGTGGAGCTGACAGGAACAAGATCAAAGCAGTCTTGACTTTACCACAATGAAACAAAATATCCTTTGTTTATTCAGTTTAAATAAAAGAGAAACAACTTTAAAGAACCTAGTACACAGAACTGCATTGTTTTCAAACATCTGAAGTACATTTTAGAAGCTTACTTTAGAAACTTGTGTTGTATTGAAATAACAATGGCATGAAATCTTGATTATTTTCCAAAAATATTTACACTGAATATAAGCTTGTCTTCTCCCTAGGTGTATAAACATCTAAAGCTTCCGCCTAGCCATAGTGGTCACTGATACATATGAGTTAAGTAGTAAATCACGTATCTCTCTGCAGCCACTAAGCCACACTAAGTGGCTATCTCATTTGAGAGAAGCAGTTTCTGGTAATCTCATTTTCAGAAAACAGCCTTGAGCCACACATGGTGGCACACATCTATAATCCTAGAACTCTGGAGGCTGAGACAGAAGGATTGAGAGTTTGAGGCCCAACCTAGACTACAAAGTGAGATCCTGTCTCAATAAAGTGTAAAACCAATAGTCTCTCCGTTATATTTTGTGGAGGTTTTTCCCCCTCCAGACTAAAACCTTTCATAGAAGGATATATGTGGGCAATCAAATAGGAGAGTCCACAAAAGACATTATTTGAAGAATAGAAAGGTTGAAAATGCAAATTAAGCACTGTTGAAAAAGTACCCACGCTCACCAAACTTGGTGGCTCATGCCTGCAATCCCAGCCCTCAGGAGGCTGAGGCAAGAGAATCTGGAGTTCAAGGACAGCCTGGGCTATATAGCAAGGTCCTGTCACAAAAAAACAAAACAACAACAACCACACACCAAAAAAAAATCCAAAAACAAAAAACGCACACACACACACACTGTAACGGACTCATTTTTTTTAAATAAAGTACAATTTCAGTAATTTCAGTGGCCGAAATTACTGAAAGATACAAATAGTATCTTAAAATTGTATCAACACATAGGATTTAGCTCAGTGGTTCTGCTGCCTGCCTTACAAGCGCAAGGACCCAAGTTTGATCCCCAGTACCAAAAAGAAAAAAAAAAATTGTATCAATACAGATAAAGGAAAACTATTATTTTCCACTCACAACACACCTAATTCCAAACATGAGGTTTCTACACCAAGCAATTTGCCAATGCTGGGAGGACACAAAATAGGAATCCTAAAATTTAATTAAATTCTGATACTTGCTGTCCCTGCCTAAACTAGGAAAGAACTTGCTGGGTAAGGCTGTCTCACAAAACTGCTCCCTAAAACTTCAGACAACACTTTATTTACCTTTACCTTTATTCCACATGTAGTGTGCGAGGTACAAATACACAGCGCTGCACAAGGTGAAGAGGTGGTGTGGTGCTTTCCTGCCCTCCCAGAATAAGCCATTGTTCCAGTACCTCCACGTGTGTTCAACAACCCACAAGCTTTCCAAAGCCCATACTTTAGGGAAGTGATGGCAAACCTTTTAGAAACAGAGTGCCCAAACTTCAATGCAAATCTCACTTATGTATGGCAAAGTGCCAACACTGAATTAAATTTTTAAGAACAAATTGGGGTGGGGGGGTTGAGACAGGGTCTCGTTATGCAGTTCAGGGTGGCCCTGAGCTCACTATGTAGCCCAGGCTGGCCTCAACGTCACAGGAATCCTCCTGCCCCGGCCACCGACACGCCCCCCCACTTCTGTGCTGGGGTTACAGATGTGTGCCAGAACACTGATCATGCATGTAAACTTTAATGCTCAGCTTCTGGGGAAATGCTGGGAAACTTGGCTTACCACGTGCCAATAGAGAGCTGCGTGCCCACTGACACGCTACCAGCACTGCTTTAGGGATTTTTTTTTTAAAGTTGCACTACAGAAGCATGATTGCTGCAATCACTGGCCCTTCTACCCTCCCCAGAACTGAAGGACAGGTCCAAAAGTTCCAAGCTCCATCCTGACACTGTCTAAGGATCCACCAGAAGTCCTATACCTTGCTAGTATCCAAAAGATACTCATCACTCTAGGATTCCAATGCTCTTAGAAGTCTTGTCGGGAAAAGGTACAAAGATATATTTTTAATTATATCACAGTGGGGCTGGTGATGTGGCTTTATTGCAGAGCACTTGCCTAACACCATAAAAAAATAGTGTCACAACATGATAGTGAATTTTTAGTTGGGAGAGGCCTCTTCAATTAATTAATTCATCAAATTAATGAATTAATAGAAGCAACATAACCTAAATAAAACGAGAAACCAAGCTTTGTTACATAAATCATATTTTGAAAGAAGCAACACAAAATTCTCAATCAAAAAACAAGAAACAGCACAAATATGATATACACACCAAACAAGGAAGAACCTCCAACAAAAAATGAAAATCATAGAAAACAAGCAATATATATATATATATATCCAGGACCAGGACATCATATATTCAGGACACAAATTAGATTTCTGGACAAGCTGCAACCACAATCATTATAGAAACATCCCACGTCTTCAAACTATTAGCATCTCTGATTCTGAGATCAAAACTGTTAGCCTTCCTGGCTCACAGTCACTTTGGCCTTTGGACCATGTCTTTCTCACTTGGAGTTGAATTTGATCATGTCTCCCTTGCACCTTTCTTTTACCCATCATGTCAACAATCCTAAAACAAGGAAAAGCAAAACCTGTCCTTTATTCATTTCTTCTTACCCAATTTTTCTTCTCAATTCAAAGGTAATAAAACATGATGGGATCAACTAAGTGTTGTGATAAGCAACTAAAACTCCTTTGCTCATACCTCTTTAGTCTACTTCCATTCAGTCTTCCCTACTTGCAAATAGCAATGCTAAAAACAGCTGGGTTGGGGTGGTGGGGGTGTGTGACACTAATTGTTAGTAACTTTTCCAATACTTTAGAGAAAACATGCCCCACTGTCACAAATGGAGAGGGTAAAACTCAAGCTTTCTGACATGTTTTTCAGCAAATCTGTGAAAAGTGACAAGAATTAAGTTAAATTTTTAAGACTGCCTGGGAAAGTGTGTAAAACATCAGAGACGTAGGGAAAAGTATTATTAAAAACATCGAATTTTACTAAATTTTTCACAGAAAGATCAGCTTTGAAAGCACATGACTGTATCTGGTTTTTTTTTTTAATTTGTACATGTTTGCAATACTAATAATTTCTAGTTACACACATTTTCCTGCACACCATATTACTGGGTTTTCTGAGATGGGGTCTCACTATACAGTTCAGGTTGGCTTTGTGCTATGTATCCCAGGCTGGCCTTGAACTTGAGGTGATCTTCCTGCCTCAGCCTTACAGCCTTACAGGCATGTAACAGCATGCAACTCCAAAATCTTATCTTTTAGCTATTATTCTCTAAAGTATTGCTATGTTATTTTCAATAGTTTTTTTTTTAATTTTGCTGTTATTGCTGTTAAGATCGAGGGAGTGCTGCAACCTGACACAGTGCCCCTAAAAAACACCAGAGAGGTTTCAACATCGCAGGCTGCACATAGCACCTCTTGGGCAATGACACTCAGCTCTCATATGATAGCCAGCAAGGGCTGTGGGACTTGGAGACTACGAACCCAGCAGTTCCTAGTCCTAGCAAAACTATTGCCATTACCCTCCACACTGCAAAAAGAAAGTCCAACATTTCATAAACTTGGAACATGTGAGAAACACTAAGTTTTGTTTTAATAAATACTGTGTAGCTTACTAACTTCTTTTCCACACCTATTTATACAAGTTGACTAAACTAGCTGTTAGCTATTTCTATAGCTGTCTCCTATGATATTTATAATGTGTTGTGTCATTTGGGTGGCCCCTGTCATCAAGTCTTTAGAGAATCTGAGTTTCTCTGGAAATCTTGTGGAAGGCTGCTCCCGCGGTGAACACAGCTCTGCACCTCTGCACAAGGGAAAAGTCAGAAGGTCTAGAAATCTGATAAGACCCACATGTCTCTCCCCTGCACCTTTCCGCCAAGACACTGCAGGTCTATTTTTGCTGGGAGATGTTACTACGAGGGTGGGGGCTGTCTGAAACTCATCTGTGCACACCTTCCATTTCTTCCGAGGCCGGTCACACCCAGGCAGCTTGAGTTTCTCTATCCTCTTCCAGAAGGGCTCCCACCCTGGCTTCAGAAAGGATCCACAATTCTCCTCAGACCAGTCACTTTCACAAACTCAAAGTTTGCATCAACTTTCGCTGAGATACAAACCCTCTGCCCAAAGCCCTGCCACTTTCCTCAGCGTTTTACAAACTCACTACCCTCCAGTACTCTCCAAAAGGTAAGCAGCGAAACCCTAAAAAGCATGAGTCCATCCTCCGTGGGTGGAGAAAAATTCTCAAATCTTTCCCCAGTTTCCTGCCGCCACCAGCACCTACTGCACCACCGGAACCCCAGAAGCCTCATCTGGCCCGAAGGGACCGCTCCCCGCTCGAGCCCCCAGGCAGAGACCGGGCTCGCCCGGGAAACGCACCTGAGATGAGCCCCACGCGTGAGGGGCCGCGGACGGGAGCGCCCGGTTCCTCGGCCAGGGCGGACGGCAGACTCGTCAGGCGC